CGGGCGCAAATTTTATCTGAATCAAAAATTTCAAATGGTTTATAAATCTGTAAGAAAGCCGCTATGCTCCTATGGAGGCTTTTTTGTTGTTAGTGAAATTTAAAAAAATTGCGTCGGTTTGAACAAAACGTATAAAATTTAGCCTTTTTTTCGACAGTTTTTCGTAAAACAAAATAGGAAGATTTCAAAAAAAAACTTCCATAGCAACATAAGAAATGACGTGAAGTATGTTCTGTTAAAATTTCAAATGGATAGCTTGAAAATTCTTACTTTGAGAGTGGCCACTGTTTTGAAAAACACCATTCCGAGAATAACGCTTTTAAAGTTCGGAGTGCGAGAGGTCTGACCCTCCAATCCCTTTTTCTAAGAAAGGCTGTAGCGACCGAAATCATTCGAATTTCGACATAAAAATTGGACAGAATATTTATAACTGTGTATACTATCAGATAATGAAAAAAAAAAAAATCGATTTTTTGAAAATTTTACACTGTGATGGTCCCTTAAGTACCCCGAATCAAATTTTTGTCCGACACTCCTTAATAAACGTAGATTTATTTCTATTTTTTCTATTACAGCTTTAGTATTTTAGCCCTATTACTCATTAATTATGCCGTACAATTTAGTAATGACACATGGTCTATTTATAATAGATACAGGATTGATATGCTGATACTTAAATGGTAGACAAAAATAAGACACTGGAGTAATTTATTAACCCAGGATGACTAGCGCCAGGCAAAAATAATAATCTTCAAAACACATTCAACGGGTTTTACATATGATAGACATTTCTTTTAATCACTTATTTAAATCAAATAAATTATCTTTTATCTATTGTTATATTAATATGCGTTAATTCTTAAATATTCCACGTAAACTTTCAAATTGTATTACACGATTGTCTAGTAAACATAACTTTATCGTAGAAGAAACATTAGTTTTAAGAATTTACGAATATTTTGACTATCATGTTTTACAGACATGAAATTTTTTTACACGGTTTTCTGAACGCAATTGCATACGCAATTTCGATTTTCTAAGAAAAATAGGTGTATCATTTAAAAATTAATCAAATCGCTTTACCTACTTACATGCATGTTTACTTATATCATTTATTTTTGTATCATATCATTTTGTAAAATAAAAATTTCATAAAAACAGTTGTAATATATTCTCGTTCTTTCAAGACACTGCAAAAACTATTACGTGTTTTATATTGTAATAAACTTGATATTTCACTGCTGTTAACAAGAATCATTATCATTCAATCTGTTTATCGACAAGAAATTTTATTTCGAATAATACTAAAAGTAGTACATACTTATAATTGCAGAAACCTATTTTGAATACAAAGTATTCTATCGCAGTCACATTCTGATTTTAAAACTTTGTGTATACATAAAAAGCATTTCCCAATATTCCTATCAATTACGATTTTGTAATTGAGATCGTGATATCAGAGAATTTGCATATTTTTGTTAGCAGGTTTTATGTTCATCCATACGTAATACTAATTCATAATTAAAATGTAAAGAAATGCTAAATAATTATTAATTAAAACGAAAGTAAAATCAATTATAACTGAAAAGTAATTCTAAATAAATGTAATTATTTATGGCTGAATATTTAAACAAATATTTAGAGTAAGGTCTAAAAGTGGATATTGAATAAGAGTTTTAAAAAACACTATTAAAAACGTTATCTAATTAATCAACTTTATACTAATGTCAATTGTGCACAATAATAGTTACTACCTGTTACTCTTGATAGTTATTACTATTTGATATACCATTCGCATATTTTATCGGTATTTCTTAAACTCAGAACACTATAGTTTTCAGACTTACATATATGATTCCTATATATAAAATGGACCATCTATTAAATATTCATTATTCAATTGAAACCATTCATTACCGTTGGCAAACAAATCATTGGCAAGAGAAATTTTCATAATGGGATATAGCTTCGATTTTACGAAAACCATTCATATGCTATATTCCATTTCTTTGTATTCATAATTTTTTCATTAATGCAATGCAACATTCATAAAATCATAAATTTTCAATTTTCAATAATGCATTGATTATATAATACTTCAAAACACTATTAGCATTCACGAAAATGTTAATCACTATTGTTCCGTTCTACTTGAAGTGAAGTACGTGAACTCCGTTCATACGTACGCATGTGCGTGTCATTAAAATAAATAGTAATTTCTGCCACTTGCGATTGAAACAAGGATAGAAACTTTAAGGCCCTATTCTACTTTGCCGGTCAAAAAATGGGTGATTTTCAGGATTTTTTTTTATTGGAACGACAATTGCTATCGGTTAAAATTGTTTTTATTCGAAAACACGTTCTTTAAAGAGGAAACAAATTTTTTAATTAAAAGTTTACAAAATTAAACATAAAATAGACGGCGTTGCGCGGAGCTCCTTGAAAAAAATCGTTTCTATTGGTGCAAATGATTTTGATCGTTTGGCTCATGTGAAGCACAAAAATAGAAATTATTCTTAATTAGTGAGACTATGACCGGTACCAGAATTAAGACTAAATAAAAAAATGGCAAAATTACTGGAGTATGAAAAAAACCGGTCAAAAAGGCGGGGTTTTTAATATCTTATTTGTTAAATAAAAATATGTAATTGTTACTTTAAATTCTAATTTTGGTAGAGGCGATATTCAATGATGTGTAGAATATAATGTTAAAATTAAAAAAAAATCGGACGAGTACTTTTTTTAATATCATTTGCACCAGGTGATAAAAGTAGTTTCAAGATAAATCGATTTAAAGTTGATATTGACAACTATAAATTGATAAATTGATATTGACTTAAAACTTGTTAGAAATATATTGAATACAAATTAAATTACTCACTATACGAATATTTGCAAATAATAGAGACCGTATTGTTTTCCCTAATGAATACGTTGTCGAATCGTTGTTTTCTCGGAAATTCAGATTCCCGAATATGGATATCTTCACATATGGTACTATAATCGTCGTTACGCGAATTTACTAGAAACGTTCATGTAATAGTGAGAGTGCTGGTAGTTTCTAGTAGTTATTTTCCGTAAAGGTATAATTCGGGCATGTTCTATTATCGTGTGCATTAACGTTGCCAACAATAAGGCCTGGACAAAACTGTGAAAATATTCGGAATTGTATAAGTTCTAAAAATATTTCGAACAAAACGAACGATTTTAATAGTTTTCTACAAAATAAAATAAATATTATTTTTACCTATTTATAGAGATTTTAATATTACATTATACACTACTTTTATTAGCAATTAAAAAAATGAGATTAACTGTAAGTTTACCACATTTCGAATTTATCTGATATACTATATTCATCAAGGAAAGATAGTAGACAAAATGATAAAATCACTTGTTATTTATCTTGGAAATCGTGTCGTTCGAGAATTGCATATGCGTATATGTGAAATGAAGGTGTCAGTCTGATAATTTGGCTTTAAATAATTATAACCTTAAAAATAAGACTGATAAATATATAATGAAAACATTAAACTATGAAATATAAATAATAAAATATGTATAAAACTATAAAATTGTGACTAAAATATTTCTTAACTTTGTTATCCCTATTTGCGCTTGCTTCAGACTTTGTTCCTTTCGTAAACAAACGTCAAGGATGTTGTCTCTTCAATCCAAGATATGTGTAATATGTGTTATGTAACTTATGCATGAAAAGCACTATTTTTCGTGCCTCCAAAGTGTAGCGTAAGTAAGTAAACTCGACTTCGGCTCGTGTCGCTATGTTACTTGTGAGGCTCGTGCGACCAACTTCACCGCCTGCCTATAAAAATCGCTTTCTTACCCTCGTATCGCAAAGTACTATAATGTAGCTAGACATAAATTCTTCAACTAACCGAGTGTCATTCTTTGCACTGTAATTGTTGCACGATACAGTTTATCGTTAATCGCTAACGTGTTAATACAATTATCTTTCAAAAGTATAATATTCATTTCTAATATAATTATTGTGTTTTTCATCATTGCAAATTAAAAAACCGAATACACGCACATACACGTACTACAAATTTTCCTCATTTGGTAACAAGATTCTAATATGACGACAAAATAATATTTAGATATATGAATGTTAGGTTAGCGATCATTACTATGTAAATATATACAACCGCATATTATATAATCGCGTATGGAATATAAATCGTCTAATTTGGTTATACTATTATTCAGTTGCACTAAACAATTAAACATTCAATATATTCTGCTGCCTATTAAAACTACAAACACCTGATTAATAATAGTTTAAAAATTCGTATCTCTCAAATCATTCACTGATATTCTTATCCTACTACCTTAAGTAGTCGCGCAACGTCTACTACGTCCTGACACCGTTTCGACTCAAAGATATTTATGTGTGAAACCTGTAGACTCGTGTATTCTTCAATTAAATGCTTCTGCATCCTTCGATAGACTCTTATATACAACATTGGAGCACCTCATTGGAACATATCTAGTTCACAAGGAACCATATTATTTTTCTCTGTAAAATACGTATGACTACTTAAGCGGTGGAGAAGAATATACAAATATTTGTTTAAAGTATATGTAATAATAATTATTTTATGCGATCAGTATTTGATTCTTTTATTGTTGTATTCAGAAGGGTAAAAAAAATACTATACACTACTGTCTGAAAAATGTGTAAGCGAGAGTGTTATTTACATGATTTTTGTAATACAGTTTAATTACCATGCCTGAATGTATGTATTATAAAAGTGTGTATTCCATTACTGTATAATATTATGGAAATTACAATAAAAGTAAATTATCGAGACATAGAATTAGTTGTCAGTTAATCAATTCTTACCCAAATTCAAAGAGAATACAGATTACCATTACTGGGGTCTTCGTGAGCTTTGGCTTTTTTACATGTAGCATGAAATGGAACACAACATATAATATTTATGATATCCAATACTCAAAACAAAGAAGTACGCTTCTAATATAATATAATACTTTATTATATTAATTTGCGAATATTTACAAAAATTACACAATGTCATAGAAATTGGGAACATTTCTTTAATAAATAACAAAATTAGGTACGTTGAATTGTATAAACGTTGTTCATAGGCTTAAATATTTAACATAAAACATACAGACGGTCCGCGAAGCAATGTCTTTTTTTATAGTTCGTAAACAAATGCAATTCTTAACAATCACATGCGCGAATTTTCATAAAATCATGAAAATCTATACTAAAATAGAAAAAATATATTTCAGTCTAGAAATTTGGACGTGCACACTATGTAAAAAAACTGTATTAGACCCACCTGTGACTTGCTAGAGACTTCATTATTTTCGATTTATAACAAAAATGACATCATCCTCTTGGACCGACTATACTTTAAATGAAGGTATAGCAAAACATTGGTAGAATGAGATTATAAATTACAGTTCCATGAATAAAGAAATTACAATTACATCGTTATTCAAAATTATATTAAATCCGAGGTTGAATATTATAATAATGAATATTTTGATTAAATCTAACATGAAATAATAAGTGTAATGTTTAACATGACGAAATATATTCTTCGAAATATTTTTTAATTAATTTGCTTCCTCATGGATTTAAATTCTCGAAGAAATGCGCTCATGATAAACTCGAACAAGTTTGGTATTCCAATTAGAATGGAGCATTCGTTACTTATGAATTTTTATTAGTTACAATTAAAATCCTATAATTGTTATGTTCGATTTAAAATGACATAATGTAGAAATATAGATGCAAAAAACAAATAGCTAATTTTAAAAATAATAGCAGTATGAACATTTTCCATGTGCAGATACTTACGTTATACGTTGCAATTTTTACTTAAATTATGTCATTCTGGATCTGAACTTACAGTAATTACCATTACAATAATCCTATTGTTCTGCAGGAAATTTTGGTAATATTAATGTTAATTAATATTAATTAATTACAATTGTGTTTGCAGCAAACGCTAGTTACGCAAAATTACTAACAAATCTCATAATAATAGTTTAACGGTATATATCTCATTATATTATGTATATTCAATGTCACAGTATTCTTTTAAACAAACAGAAAGTAATCGTAGGCCATTGAGTATTTTGATCCCTGCGCAACAGTAGGAAGAAGAATAAATTAGGGGAGCCTATAAAAAAATACCAGAACAATATCGTATATTTACATTCTCATTGAACCGCTGCGATCATAGATATTCCATCAATTTTAGATAAATTTATTTTGATACACGTGCAATGAATTTAAAATAACAAAGTTGAGTTATGTGCAGTACTATGGTACCGATTAAGGTGAGGGTCTGTGTAAACGGCATCAATTCAATATTAAAGTTTTGTGTAGTAACATAATACATAATACGTAATACACATAGCAGCAGGGTCACAGCAGATACCATTTAATCGCCATTATCTTATAAAAATAATTTGCTTTCACGAATATATCAAATTAAATACAAGAAATTCAAAGATATTCATTTTTAGATAATATACATTTTTAAAATAAATCTATATTTGTGTTCTGAGCAGTTGTGAAATAAATCTTGGTCTGCAATTATAAAAGAAAACATATTATTATTTATTTAACCCTAGAACACCACACAGTTTTTACATCAACGCGCGGGTCACACATATTCTGTCACACAATGGCTCATAAATCGCAATGTAACTTTGTAACGAATACAAATTTTATAACTTAATTATAGTGAAATCAAAATTACAGAATACATTTAACATGAATAATTAAAATGAAGTGAAAAAGAATAATTTTTTTAAAAGTTACATGTTTTAGAAGAAAAGGTGCCGTGGAGAAGGATCAAAAAATCAAATCTCTTATATTTAGGCACACGTGTGATAGTTTACGCCTAACTATATGACGCTTGGAATATCAAATAATAATATCAACTCAACGAAATTCCAGACATACTACAGCTACTATTTGTATCAGGGTCAGCTGAAACTCTACACTATTCCTTACTGGATAACTCTTGGAAAAATGCTTCTATTGGCAATGTCGGTTCATCTGTCGAAATTTTAAAATTTGGGTTAACCACACGGCTTTCGGTAACTGGCGAAACAGCTTTAAACAATCCAGGTTTGTCATAAAGAGCTGATGCTGAACTGGTTAGATCAGCAACACTCTGAGACGCTTTTGCAAATAACTCTTCCTCTAGCTGTAAATCGGCAGCAGTTGTTGTTTCTATTATAGATGTGGATTCAGTGCTCGTTAGATCACCTGGACGACTACCTTCAACGTCACTCATAACATTATCATTGTTCATTCTTATTACATGAGGCAATTCGACTATTTCCATGCCATTCTCGGATGATGTCAAAGGACTTTTTTCATTCCTGGTCACAGATTCAACATTTTCAATGATCTTCTTTGATGTAGTGGCACTTTCTTCTTTACTGACGACCTCATTCGCACTCTCTATCAGCGTTGGCACAGTAGTGGCTACTGAGTAAAAGCTCGTTTCTTCTGCTGTCATTTCGGTAGCATCCTCTTTCTTTACTTGAATCTCCTCATTAGTGTTTTCTATTTTGTTCTTGAGGACACCTGGACGTCTTCTAATAGCTGACGAGAATACGTTCTCGGGACGGGCCGTGCTGTACCTAATGCTAATTTCATTCTGACCATCCTGCCTGTTTCCGTTTCCAATACTCGATGAAGATGTTATTCTACTTTTGTAAAGATGACCATTCTGATTGAGTTTTCGTTTAGGTGTGAACCTGTTGATCCTGTCTGTAGTAGAAATGCTCTGTTTGTACTCAGACGTTTCACGAACTGGCTTTGCAGTGGAAGTTATTCTGTATGAGGTTCTAGACATATACTTGTATCTTCCGGTCGTTTCCCTAGGAGAGTCAGAAGTTTCCTGTGATTTTGGAGTGCTGCTTCTTTGTCTTGTTTGCATTACTGAATGTGATGTCGCTTCTGTTGTTGATAGCTGACCTACTCTATTTTTATAATCTAATCTGCTTTTATAATCTTTGACGCTGAAACGTGGACGCGTTGCGTTACCAAATCTCAACGGACGAATTCGATGTGATGCTCTAGTAGTCGACGGAATGACATTTGTAGTGCTCATTTGTAATTCTGTGGTAGTTATAGTAGCAGTAGAAGGAGTTGTAGTTGTCATAGATACTGGCAGTGTTGTTGCCATAGTAGTATAAGAAGCAGCTGTAGTCGGAAGATTCACCTGATTCTCTTCTCGTTTGTCGAAGAGTTCCTCTAGCGGAATATTTTGTAATTTTTCAAGGTGTTCGCGCGACGCGTCCTGTCGGATGTAATGTTCTTCAGGAAATGCAACTTCCGTTTGACGTTCAGGAAGTATACTTGCGGTAGATAATTCTTCAGCTTCCTGGCTGGAAATCGTATATACTTGTGTCATGAATTCCTCGGCAGGCGATACAGGATTCTTTTCAAAACTGGTAGGATAATTTTCCCATTCGGTCGTTTCTTTGTAAGTCGTTTTGGTCGGTTTAATAATTTCTGTCACGACTTCTGCTTCGAATGGTTCCCCCGGATGTACACGAACATGATGCCCAGGACGTTTTCTAATAGCAGGTCGCCTCTCTGTCACCACCTCCTCTGCAAGAGTCGGTTGAGTGGGCCGGATTGGTCTCCGTTTTTTAGCCAAGTCTATTTGTGGCGCATGATCATATTTTAGATAATCATCTTCGTTTGCTGATGCGGTAGTATCCACTTCCGATGGCGATGTTGGGCGCGGTCTACGCCTGACTCCCCCATTTAGTGGTCTACGAATTCTTGAACGTACTTTCACAGATATCGTTGATGAATCTGGTTGTATCGTCGTTTGTACTGGTACTTCTGATAAGGAATTGAATGTGGTCTCAAGTTGAGGTGAAGCTTCCGTTGCCTGAACTTCATAAATTGGTGTTGTCGGTCGTCGTCGCCTATATTGACCCCTTTGTGGTTTTACTGGTCTATGAGTTCGAATTTTCAATTCCGGTTCTCGAGTGATCACTTCCGGTTCATTATTTCCTTGGGTTTGTGTATATTCACTTCCACCATTCGAGTCTGATGATTCAGGTTTTTGAAGTTGTTGCTGTTGCTGTTGTTGCAGTTGCACTGGCTGTTGCTGTTGCTTCTGTTGATGTTGATAATTAATTGGCTCGTTGATTTGCTCATTATCGTGATGGTGCATATTTTCTTCTGTAACTAATTGTGACAATTCGTATTGTCTTTGCTGTTGTTGCTGTTGAGCAATTAACCTCTGCTGTTCCTCAAATCTTTGACGATGTTCGAGAGTTTTTTGGTTTTGTAATTGTTCTTGTGCGTGTTCCTGTCGTTCGGCCTCAATTTTTTTAAAATCAGTTTCCTTTTGCTGGTTCTCAAGTATCCGTAACTCTTCTTGTCGTTTTTTTAATTCGTCTTCTTGTTGTTGTTGTATCTTCTGTTGCCGCTGCATTTCTTGCTCATGGAGCCGTTGCCGATCACGCTGTATCAACTGTTGTTGAATCAAATATTGTTGCTCATTGAAGTGTTTCAATGAGATACTTTCCGGAGTCTCATATTGTGGTTCTACCGTCTGTTGTTTCACAGTTGTAACTGGAATACCTGCTGATTGATACTGCTGCTGGAGATCTGGTCGAAGAAAAACGAGTTCCGGAATCCGTTGCTGTTGATGATGGAGTTGCTGCTGCTGATGCTGCTGCTGATGCTGATGCTGATGCTGCTGTTGCTGGTACTGCTGCTGCTGGTGCTGCTGGTGCTGCTGCTGCTGCTGCTGATGCTGCTGCTGTCGCTGTTGTTGCGATGTCGGATAACTGACGAGTGGCTCTTGACGAAACTTGATAGGCGAGTTTTTGTTAGGCAACACTTCGTTGATTTCTGTTGTGAATTTTGATTTCTGAATCGGCCATGCCGAAGGTGGTGATGTGAGATCTTGGTGCTCAGAGACGTAGTAAGTGCTACCAAGGGCGCTGGTGGCAGTTGCTACACCGATTCCAGCTTGAATTGTGTTAGGAGCTTGAGATTGCAAAAACTTGCCTAATGTTGAAGAGGGCGTCGTTGTAGAGGCGACCGGCACTGTCGACGAAGTGTCAAAGTTGTTTGAAGGGGAAATATTGTCATAGGACAATGATGGTCGGAAATTAAAACCAAATGTTGATGAAGGAGTGACATAGCTAACCTCATGACTTTCATGAACTAGAAAGGCTGGATCGCGTTCATATGACGTCTTATACGGTGCTGGGTGGTCTACTTGACTATAGAAGTTTCCGGCATTACCATTTAAAATTTGCGGCGTATGAGTTTGCTGAAATGTCTCAAAATTCTCAGATAACTTATGCTTGACATTAAAGCTGGCCGGAACTTCGGCAGAGGGCGGTTTTAGAAAAACCTTGTTGTTATTACTGGTGACCTTCTGGGGCTCAAATGGTTGAGCTGAATGTCTGGGTAGTTGTAATGTTTGTTGAATTCCAAACCCATCAATAGGACGAAGCTTTGAAAATCCTGGTGAGTGCGTGGATGACGAAAATCCTGTCGGCTTGATGAAAAATGGTGCATTGCGTATATCAGCCTGTGGACCCGTAGATATAAGGCTCGCTTGTCTCAGGAAGGCGTCGTTGTCGCGTAAAATTCCCTTTCTGTGCGGTTCCGTGTCAAATCTAAAGACATCACGTGGTGGCGGCACCAGGAACGTATATTCCCTTGTTTCCGAAGGTAGAATCTGCTTGATTGGATGATCTTTATGCTTTATTCTAGCTTTGGTGGCAGCATGACCGAATACACTAAAACTGCCCAAAATACTCGGCGGACTGTATTCATGCTGCTGATTCGTCTTGTACTGAATCCTTGACTTCTCTGATGACGCCATGTGCTCCTGATACTTTCCCAAAATGGGATGGGTTAGCCGCTCATTGTAATTGTTTGAAGACGTGCCACTATTGGTGCGAATACCGTCGTATCCGGTGAATGGTCGCCACCCATTCGCTATCATCGAGGAATGCGTTGATGCCTGCAAAAATATTAACATCTTTCGTCATGATAATACAAAATTGTAAGATAACGATTGTTTAATAAATAATTTCTTTTACTACTGACAATGTAACTATGTTCTCAATTTCATTTTTCATTAAATGCTATAGGAGCAAAAAAATTATTACAAAATAGTAAATAATATCATTAATTCCAAAGTGACCATAACTACGCTTTTCATGTCGTTCTATATTTAATAAATTTTTTTTTACAAAATTAACATACACTTTTGATGTCAGCGCGATCAATGGGAATGGTGATTGCTTGAACGGACACCCATACTGTCAGCGTCCCTGTATGTAATAAAAATGTTACAGAATAGCTTTTACTACCGTTAATTATGGATTAGGTACTTAAAAAAAGACAACTTGATTTTAGTTTTTATACTCACAGCATAATATTTGCCTAAGTAACATAGTGCGGCTTTATGTCATTTACGAATCAGATCTAAAACATAGCAAATGAGTATTATTAACATAAGATTTAACTATAAAATAAATAGTATAAACGTGTAACCATAAATTGGATATCGAATTAGAAACACTGTGTTTATAAAATTAACCATTAAACAGGCAGTAATAAGATTATTTTGAAATTTTTTAAGCAAATCCTACTTGCCTTCTATATCTTATAAAATGTAATTACAAATGTTTAAGTTACTACATACAATATATATCTCGACTTCATAAGATTTAAAAAGGGTCAGCGAATCACAAGAAGAATTTGAAAATAATAAATGAATATTATCAATTAATGTTTTGTAAATTTGATATAAATGCGATATAATCCACATGATCTGATGTGATTCAATGAAACACTATTACAGTCAGTCGAAGATTACATGCAGGTGATTCGTGCCAATTGAGTAATAACATGTTCGACGTTCAAGGGTCGGGTACCACGCTCAAAAAGGTGTCTAAAAATTATGGTAAAGAGGTTCAAAATGCCCCAGTGTGCAATAAGTGTGAAAGTGCTTATCATCAAAGCTATTAAGATACAGTGAAATTAGTAACTTTATATCACGAGTTATACTATAAAGATGAGGCAGAGTGGGTGAATACCAGCCAGTGTATAATCTCAACCACTCTAATTTCACCTGAACAAAGAATACTACGAAGAGAGCCTTGCTTCCTGGAAAAAATCTCCTTTTATAAATTTCATAAGCCATAATAAATGTTCTTAACGTGCTCCGCTAGTTCCTAATGATCGAAGGGTGGACGGCTAAAGGTGGCGTAGATTAACTCTCGGATTCACGTTATCGATGTCCAGTTAAGAAAATATGTCATAATATATGTTGTGCCGTGGCATTTCGACATGCACGCCACAAAACGTAACATTCTGCGACTTCAGGCTACATCGAGAGGCCCTGTGCGTGGGGAAGGGATTTCCTGGCGTTGGACTGTATATTATTTGTTGAATCTGTATTTATTTCTCCCGTGGGAACGTTTTTTTTGTGTTTTATATTTTTCAAGCGGATCCGAAAGGATCTTGTCAAAATTTGAATACAGCGGGCCCCGAGAGTGCCAACTATGGGCCTGGTGGGACGCACTGGCGAGCCGACGCGACAGCCAGACCGGAGCACACACCCTAAGAGGCCGGGTACGCGGAACATTCGGCGAGCATCTCTCCGATCCAGAGGACATACGGAAGTTGCAGTAACGGCCTGGAACCGTCCATCGAGGGAGCAGAGGTGGATGTGATTCCCACCTCCCGAAAATATCACTGCAGCCATCTCAAACATGAGAGATGCCAGGATCTACTTTATCGGAATCGAAGAAAACAATTGAAGATCGCAAGCTCTCTGGTGAAGTCGATGGGTCCGCCAATCAGATTGGCCTAAGGGATGTATTACAGCGCGCCTCTTGGGAAGGTTCCCAATTTTCGAAATTTTTACCGTCACTCACGGTGTTGCGGAGCCTAGGAACAGACGTGTATTCGTCTGGTAAATTTTGTATAGTCTCGTACTGTTTTGTTCTAGTTTTGTCGGATTTGCATAGTATTGTATAATGTATAACAATTAACCGGTATTTGTATAGTATTGTATAATGTATAACAATTAACCAATAATGTACCGTGCCGTTTTGCGACCGCTTGAGGGACCAGTATCAAAGAAATTGTGTCTGGAGGATATCTGGAGTAACTAGGAAGGCGGTGAGTGACGCTTTTGTGAGTTGGCCATATTTACGTGAATGAGAGATAGACCGTGTCGCAGTGTCGTGCCTTACGCACTCTCCATCATTATTGTATCCGTGGATAGTCTTCTTAAACTATTTAAAAAATAATAAGTGCGTAATTTCGTTTAGCTAAGTAGCAGTCACGATTAACATGTTTTTTATGACACCTGCATCGAAACTTCAAGTTTCAATGTCTCTACAGAAAGTCGAAACAAGCTAATTTCAGGCCAATGAGGAGGACAACTATTAGCGGATGCATAAATTGCGAATGCTTTAAATCAGCGGGCAGGAACATGCTTGTAAGTCAAATTCAATGTTTGTTTCAGCCCTATTAGTTTGTCATTTGTTGGCCAGTTACTTCAGTTTCCTTATCTTATTTTTATAAGTGACAGTTCTAGCAATACAATCATCACAATTTATGCATACGCTAATAATTCCCCGTACCATTAGCCATAAATTAACTTGTTTCTGACTGGCTCATTATCAAGAGACTCGGTCGAGTCTCGCGCCAAGTACAGGCAACCCGCCGTACGGGGCACGGCCCGTCGAGACCCTTTACTTGAAGCATCTCTTGTACCTGTGTTTCGACTCAAATATTTTATGAACGGCTGTATGTGAGAAAAATTTATTGATACATTCACTCTAGGAATCAAGGGTTCTGAATTGATTGCCACCAAATTCAATACGATTAGTGTACAGGATCAGGACGTGTTCACATGGCGAGCGAGATGATTTTATTTTAGGTCCGTCGTCGTCATTGTCGTCGTCGTCGTCGTCGTCGTCTTCGCACGTCCATCGCCTTTTTTACACGACAGATGGCGTTGACTGCTTTGCCTTCTTTACCTATTTGTACTCTGTATGGTGTTAGTAATTAACGAATATACAACACAATCAAATACAGTTTATACGTCAAGCTACCGTTCATACCGAATTTCCAATTAGTATAAGGGTGCTTTCACAACAGTACAGAGTTATTAAGTTTTTAACAGCATTCATGTGGAGCGCGCGTATATGGGTGTATGTATATGTGTGCTTCGTCACAGTTCCTCGTATTTTAGGTAACAGTTTGTCCAGGTATTCCCCTCAGTAGTTTTCTGTATCTAGGTCGCGGACGGGGAAGTCCAGGGTGTATAAATGTTCCGCTCCGTAGTTTCTTGTATCTAGACACTAGATGTAGAAGTCCAGGGTGTCCAGGTGTTCCGCTCCGTAGTTTCCTACATCTAGGTGTCAGACGTGGAAGTTCAGGGTGTTCAGGTGTTCCGCTCTGTAGTTTCTTGTATCCAGGTACTGGATGTGGAAGTCCAGGGTGTCCAGGTATTCCGCTCCATAGTTTTCTGTATCTGGGTGTCGGTTGTGGAAGTTCAGGGTGTCAAGGCGTTCCGCACCGTAGTTTCTTGTATCTAGGTGTCGGACGTAGAAGTCCAGAAATGTGTGCAACAAGCGCCGCTTTAGCGCTTCGCTCAAACTATAGTATTCTCTCTGATGTTCGCACGGTCTAAGGTACGTAAATAATCCAGCACACTCTCCTCTCTTACGTTTACCACATGGACTCAACAAGCTGGACATCATTAACGACGCTTATATGCATTGAAGATTACATTTTCTTTAAAAATGTGTATATGTTGTGACGTGGTAGATTTTACCCCGTCAGGTCCTCGGCGGGAACTGTGGTGTTACGCGGGAAAACGCGTATTAGAGAAGAATCCAGGCAAGAAGCCACCACCTCAAGGGCTAACGAAGTTGCGAATTGATTGATTTCTGATTTTGTTGTTTTGATTTTTGCTATGTCCTATGCCGCGAATATTGTATTCGCGGGCTTACCGAATCTGAAGAAGAACTAGCGACGGATCAGCAGCGTGGGAGGAACGAGGACGAAAGGCTGAGTGACGTCAGAGCGCCGGCAGGGCCCAAGCTGCGCGCGCTGTAGCGCACCGCGCCAATCACCTCGCGACTTGGATCAACTCTACGCACGCTATCACCCGAGCTACATGAACTGATCTACGCGTACCGAGTGACTAGCAGGGAGCTATTACTCTTTCCGCGTGACATAGACCTACGAACGACGGAGCACCGGTAACGCACCACAACTCATGACGGAGGCCCACCGCTATCAACGAATGGAACGAAGTCTCGCGAACTGGGAATCCGGGGACGCCTGGTGAACCGTTGCGAAGTCCTAGGGGACGACGGAGCCCATCGCGGGACAACCCGTAATCACTGTTCCCGAATCGTATGAATTGTCGCGAAGACGTATTTTGAATTGTAGCGCGTGGTGTCAGATCGGAGATTTCTGATTGGGGCCGTAGGACCAATCAGCGGTGGTTGCGAATAAGGGAGAGGATGATACTCTCCGGTGCTGCCGATTACGATCGAAAGGGAAGGCAACTTCTTTCTTCTTGCTTGGACCGTCGACGACGTGAGTCGTGTTTTTGTAACCGTTTGTTTTCCGGGGTAATTTCTGTGGAGAATCCGGACTTCGTCCGAGGCCACGTATAAGCGTCGTTAATAGTGTTCAGCTTGTTGAATCTGTGTGATAAACGTAAGAGAGGAGAGTGTGCTGGATTATTTACGTACCTCAGGCCGTGCGAACAACAGAGAGGATACTATAGTTTGAGCGAAGCGCCAAAGCGTCGCTCGTTGCACACTTTTCTGAACTTTTACGTCTGATACCTAGGTACAAGAAACTACAGAGCGGAACATCTGGACACTCTGGATTTCCGTTATTACGCAACCAATGTTGTTGACAAGTCAAAATTTACGAATTTTAATTGTAGTGATGTTCAAAATGGTGACGGTGACGGTAGACGGTGAACAAAAGATTGTTTTGCATTCTTTATGGCCTCTCCTCTACACTGATGGTGACTGAAGACGACAGAATGGATGCGTATAACGGCGTAGTTGTGATTCTTCTTGTGATAAGGAGTATTTAGTTTTTAATTTTCTTTCGAAACTGATGAAAAAAATGTCATGTCCTTACATGCGCCGGATTCGTCTTGAAATCCTCTAACAGACAGGCGTAAAAAAATTATATGTTCAGTTGCAAAAAATTCAAGGTAACCTTGAAAAAACATTTAAAAAAAAGAGTTGACCAGTAATTTTTCACTATCACGTTAAAGCTCTCTTGAAACCATGCAAAAGCTGATAAAAGCATTTTCGATCGGACTGCTAATAACAAAGTAATCTCTACTGATCACGATCCGTAGTTCACTCTGTATATAATGAGCAAGTAAACATCTATATTGATACTCTTTTTTCTCCCTCAGAAACGCCTTT